CTTTAAAAATAAATAAAATATACAAAAGTTTGGCTTCAGATACACATTCTTGACTTCCCTTTGCCTTTCTTAAAATTGTCATTAGTGGCAAAAGCATATGGCTGTGTGTGGAAGAGAAGGAAGAGCTGCGATGTGTGTGGTGGTGGTGGTGAAGGGGGGTCTGGTCTCTTTGGTCAAGTCTGTTCGTGGATATTTGGAAGGCAAGAAAATACAATTCCAGCTGAATTACAATGAGTGTACTGAACGCATAGCATCGTATGTTCTTGTGTAGGCAAAAGTAGGTAGCGGGAAGTTAAGTCCTGTTCTCACTTGTGCTTTATTCTGACTTGTTGCTTTGACTTCAGGATATCATGAAAATTGAGAGCAGTTTGGCTCACTATTTTGAAAACAGAAGTTTCTTATTCTTCCAGCTGTAAAGTACACAGTGACTCATGAGATGGTAAAAGCCCTCAGCTCCCCATGGGACTCTTACCAGAGCGTCCGCTGGGAGCAGAGAATGGAGATGTACTGAGCATGGTTGGTGAAAGGCTTTGGCATGCCCATTATCACCAGTTCCCCGTTGCCTCCTGGCACTGGGAATTACACATTCCCAGAGGAATATTGCAGGTTGACTCCAGCTGCCTTACCCAGGGCGTTATCTGTGGGGAGCTTGTGAGGGGAACAACCCTGAGTCTCTTTCCGTACCACTGTGTGGTGTGGCTGGAGAGGGCAGTGGAGGTGTGCCTGGCTGTAGGGTAGATTGAGGGGTCGTGGCCTACCACACAGCACTGCCCTTTTCATGGCACATGTGTCACAGGGACCATACAGACCCTGGTAGACCCTAGCAACATGAGCCATGGTGGAGAGCCCCTGCTCCAACCTGGAAGGGCGCTCAACCCTACTAGGATCCTTGACCTCTGCAGGAGAGCACACTAACCACTGTGGAAACCCCAAAGCACGGTGGTGGGCAGGGATATTTCCCAGGAGGGGCAAATGATGGTGCTCACTGCTGACCCCAACTGCTCCCTCTGTCCTTGGAGCAGGGAGGACAAAGGTCAGCCAAATAGCTGAAGGAGACGACTGAATTGTCCTCCACATGACTGTGGTTCTTGACATTGTACCACTGCTATTATTTGAGTAATTTAGCAAACACTGTTTTGGCCATCACATCTATGAGAAAGTATAGCCAGATTGCCCCTGCACTGCCGATAGGTTTATCTTTCTAGTGGTACCTGGTGGTGCAGCGATAGAGATCCTCCGGTTTGCTTTAGAGGGAATAAAACTGATTTCCAGTGGTATCAAGAGCTCGGGGTATTGAGGTGCCTAACCAAGGCAATGCTCAACACGCAACATGCCACAGACAGGCTCTTCAGGTCCTTTTTATTATTAATATTAATTTCAAGCTGAGGTCCATACTTTGCAGCTAGTGGTAGTCCTCTGTATGTGACTGGGACAAAGATGTTTTGAGGAGTGAGTTGTAGAGCTGTCAGGAAGCAGTGTCACAGATATCGTAGACCTGGCTGCTACTGTCTTGTTATTATAATATACAACCAACTTTAATTTTTCTAACTGTTAAAAAATGAATGTGCTTTCTGAGTTACTGGCTACAAAGCAGGAGGAAAACAAAAAAGTAGTATGGCTGAAAGATATTACCTGGAAATCTTGCTGCCAGAAGAGAATAAATTTTAATTTATTACATTATTATTTATGTTAACTTTCAAGTGGCTTGTGAATGATATTCATTCCCTGAGAGTCCTGGCAAATAATAATGTTCCAGCCTCCATTGCCTTGCCACTAGCCGGTCAGAGGCAAAGATTTATTTCTGTGATACTAAGTTTGCTGTAATAATTTTAAAAGAAGTAATTACAAACAATGGAAGAGACCCTGCATGATTTCTGCTGAAATGTCCAGTGAAAATGTCCAGTGCACTTTTCCAGATGAAAAGTGTGTCGTCCATGCCTTCAGCCAGGGGAACTGGTATAGCACCATTGCCTTTAGTAGAGTCACGACAGTTTACAGCTGCTGAGTTGTGGCTGATAAAAGTCCTAAGTCTGGCATATAATTTTCTTCACAGAAAGAAATATATTTGTCCTTTGTTAGACCAGTATGATAACTCTGTTTGGAAAAGACTTACAGAAAGATTTATTTTGTTGGATGTGGTGCTGATAAATGATATGAATATGATTCTCTCAGGCAGCCATCAGCCAGTCTGGTGAGTATTGCTAGTTGAGCTATCGTTAACAAATACTTTCCTAGTCAAATGTAATTGTTTATTTTACAGTGGAAAGCACTTGCAATTCATATGGACACAGTGACATTTTGTTATAAGCCAATACAATGAAAGATTGTGATAGTTTCTGTGATAACAGTGTGCATATTGTAACTGAATTACAATTAGATTGAACCTTGGCTGAGGTGAAGTTGTTCTGTTCACTGTTACCACGCTTCAGAAAAGAGGTCAACAACTCGAGGGCCCAATTCTGCTCTTGGCAAATGAATGAGATGGTTGCTGTCATCTTCAAAGTAAAAAAGACCAAGGACACCAAGCAATAACTGTGTTTCTTGGATAATATGTCTCTCCCAGAGGGTCTCTTCACCAAAGTAGTTTGGACCTAAGAACTAGAATGGGGAAATAATAATAACAACGGGGTAAATAGTAAATTATTTTCTCAGAAAATCATTTAAAAATATCCTGAATGTACTAAAGAATTCAAGTCAATTCACTGTACACTTTTGTCAGATTACTTCTTTTCTGAAGGAGGGAACCAGGGAAAAGGGAGGGTGGGAAAATAGGGTGTGGGTCATCCTTTAAATCCCTTTACATTCATCTGGGATGTGGTTTGCTTCTCTCCTCCTCCAGAAGGCACTTGAAAATGCATCTCCCATTTTTCAAGTGCCCAAAACAGAGTGCTGGAAGAGCAGTGGCTTACATGTTTTTGTTATCCTAAGTAACTTGTGTATAGAATCATAGAATCATAGAACGGTTTGGGTTGGAAGGGACCTTAAAGGTCATCTAGTCCAACCCCCCTGCCATGGTCAGGGACACCTTGCACTAGACCAGGTTGCTCAAAGCCTCATCCAACCTGGCCTTGAACTCTTCCAGGGATGGGGCATCCACAACTTCTCTGGGCAACCTGTTCCAGTGCCTCACCGCCCTCACAGTAAAGAGTTTCGTCCTAATATCTAATCTAAATCTACCCTCTTTAAGTTTAAAACCATTACCCCTCGTCCTATTACTACACTTCCTGATAAAGAGTCCCTCCCCATCTTTCCTGTAGGCCCCCTTTAAGTACTGGAAGATGCTATTTTCCAATGAAAGTACAGACACTTCTATATAAAACCTAAGCCTATTGACGGTAAACCTACTCTATTACCCAGAATAAATCAGATATTCCTTGGGATGTACAGGCTGCAGGTTGAAAACTGTTAGTGTGCTGGTCTCTAGCAGAGGTTGAGATCTCAGTGTCTTCCCTTGATACCCATTCTTTGAAAGTGTATTTCATGTGCTTGGGAAATGCTCGTGACCCCTGTGTAAATAAATGGTAAGTTCAGGAGCTCTAGCTCTTAAAGAGTTCCCTAAACTAAGCTATTTCATTTTGGGCCAATGGAAGGTGTCCTCCCATCCAGCAGAGCTTTTTATTTTCTTACCTTTCCCAGAAAAAAATTAAATCTTTGCAAATTTGGTTCAGATGGAACCAGTTCTCTCCTCATCCCCATCCTGGTTTAGTTACCAAGCTGAAAAATTGGCTATCTGTTGACCCTCAATACCTACGTTTGGGGCATGAGCACTGATTCTCAATGGAGCATGCAGCAACTAAACTGTAACATTTCTGGTAAAACAGTAAGTGTTTCTGACATCTTCCGATATTTTTACAAAGCTGTGCAGATCTCTTTCAATATTTATATATGGCAATGGAAAAAAGACAGCTAGGAGGAACTGCTGCGAAAATGCAACCTATCAAAGTCCATGGAAAAATTTTGCAGATAATGTAAGTCATAACTTAAAGAAAAACAGAAGTAAATTGAGAAGGACAATTGAAGTTGGTATAACTATTTTTTGTTTTAAAAAAAACTGACAACATTAAATGTATGTCTTGTATACACATGCAAAGGAAAAAAAAATAAAGTAAACTATAAAGAAAAGCAATACTTACAAAGATGTGACTTGCTATGTTTATTTTAAAAAGGGTAGCAGAAATCCAACTAATTTGAATGGGAAGTAGGATTGGTTTTATGATGACTGGCTTTCAGAGGATGTCCTTAATGGTAAATAGCATAATTGTGTACCCTTAAGGGTGGGAAGTTATTTTAGGCATTGGCAACACACATGCTGGCATCAAGACTTGACACCAGCTTTCTCAGGCTCTTTGCTATCTTAGGTCTGCATGGGGAACAGGGGCAAGCTTAGAAAGCAGCAATTTTGCCCTGCTGCTGCTCAGGCAGCGATGGTTGGGTGGTGTTTTGGTAGTGCCACATACACTTTTTGAGAAGGAGTGAGCCAGCTGCTGTGCACACTGGGGCTTGCTGGGACCGTTTGCTAATCCTTCTCACCGCTCCTCTGCATTTTTTTCAGCATGAAAATTTTGTAGGGGGAAACACCTATGAGCAGTTCCCCACATCGCCCTCGTATTTCCGCAGCACAGCTGCATCTGTGCAGAGCATGACTGACAGCTTGCCCACAGCTACCTTGATAAGCATGCAGCAATGTTAGACCCTGGTGTCCCTCATAGTCAGCGTCCCTCTCAGCTCCTGGGTGTATGGTGCAGCTTGAGCACCTGCATGGACCGTGGGTGACATGGGAAGACAGTGAGATTTATGTTGCATTTGTTGTTTTTATTTTCAGAGCCTGGTTTGCGAGCCATTCTCCCAAATTAATATGCGAGGCTTGCTGGAGCCAGGGATACCCACCACCTGCCCAGAGGAGTGCTTGGAGGAACGTGGCTTGATCTCCCTCTTGTGGAAAATTATCGGAACTAAATTCTTGTGATACTAAAGAAGAAAAGTCCAGCATCGGCGAACAAATGATGGCAGCAGTTACCGTGCCACCTGATGCTCCTGTCGGCCCTCAAGGAAATGAAGAGATGGACTCTCTGATCGTACTGCATTATAATTACACAGGAAAGCTTATTTTAAGGGAAAAGGCAACTGATAACATAGACCTGCCCGCTATTGCATTTCTGATCCTATGTAGTTTCATAGTCCTGGAAAACTTGATGGTGTTGATTGCCATATGGAAAAACAATAAATTTCACAACCGCATGTACTTTTTTATTGGCAATCTAGCTCTCTGTGATCTTTTAGCTGGGATTGTTTACAAAGTAAACATTCTTATGTCTGGGAAGAAAACTCTAAGCTTGTCCTCCACAATCTGGTTCATTAGGGAAGGCAGTATGTTTGTTGCCCTGGGAGCCTCCACTTTCAGCTTACTAGCAATAGCTATTGAGCGGCATTTGACCATGATTAAAATGAGGCCTTACGATGCAAATAAAAAATACAGAGTGTTCCTTCTCATTGGTACGTGCTGGCTTATTTCGATTTCCTTGGGTGCCTTACCCATCCTCGGCTGGAACTGTATAAACAACTTACCAGATTGCTCAACAATTTTGCCTCTATACTCCAAGAAGTATGTTGTGTTCTGCATTAGTATCTTCATAGCCATTTTGGTTGCCATTGTCATCCTTTATGCCCGTATCTACATCCTGGTAAAGTCCAGCAGTCGTAATGTCACTAACCACAATAACTCGGAGCGGTCCATGGCACTTCTTAGGACTGTTGTGATCGTTGTTAGTGTCTTCATTGCCTGTTGGTCTCCGCTGTTCATCTTGTTCCTCATTGACGTGGCCTGCAGAGTCAAGGAGTGCTCTATCTTGTACAAAGCCAACTGGTTTATTGCTCTGGCGGTCATCAATTCTGCAATGAACCCCATCATCTACACTCTGGCCAGTAAGGAAATGCGTCGGGCTTTCTTTCGCCTTGTTTGTGGCTGCCTGGTGAAATCCAAGGTGGCCAGATCTTTGCCTATTCAGCCCACACCAGATCACAGTCGAAGTAAATCCAGCAGCAGCAATACCCAGAAGCCAAAGGAAGATTTCCCCCCGATGAATGTTCCCTCGTGTATCGCTGAGAAAAATGAATCTTCCTTTCACAACGGGAACTTCTGTAAGTAAAGGACTTCTCAAGACAAGTACCTTTCTGTGGCTTTTAGATTTAAACTACAAGTGTGGTTTAAGCATTCATGCACTTAAGTCACAGGGGAAAACACTAACCACTTATTTAACTTTGAGGACTTACTTATCAACAATCATTTGCTTTGGGTGTTCATTCAGTAGTGCACCTGATTCAGAAAAAAAACCTTTCATGCTACCCAACAGCCAGGACAGAGTCCATGCACATCTAATGACACTGTGCACCATGATGGCATTGCATGATGAGGCTGCGTTTGGCACTGCCTGATTTTGCAAGACATCAAGAAAACCTGTTAGAAACTTCAGCATTCACTAAACACTGCTGACGATTGGAAAACGAGCCCCATTATTGCCGACTGGGAGAAAAGCTCGTTACGTATGTTGGTGATTATAGTTCTCTATATGTATCTTGCTGTTATGTTAATGGCCTTATATGTATGTGGTATAAATAGCTGTATATTTGTACAATTCCTTATTGAAAAGTTGTTGTTTGGTAAAAGTTTACAATATGCTAAACATTGTATTGCAGTATACAGTGTAAGGTGACAAATTATACAAATAGATAGATGTGTTTCAATGGGGATATTTGAAAATATATGAAGTAGTAGCTTTTAACTGACAGAAACTTTAACATGTCATATCAATGCAGTATTTTTATTTTTTCCACTGTTATTCAAACTTTTCATGTTTAGTGAAAGACAACATGACAGTTGTCACTGTGACATTTCACAACTTATTTTAAACAAGCAGTAGTAAACAAACATTGAGAAGGGGCTATATATGTTTAATTACTATTTAAAGTAGTTAAAATGTGACCCAACAATACACGTGTATCAAGTGTATGTACTGTTTCAATGCATATATTTTTACTTACTATTTCCAATGTATTTAAAAATGTATGTCAAACCTATGTAAACCTGTGTACATTATGAATGCACTACCTAAGCTGAGATTCTTCAGTTCTGAAAGAGAGACATACAATTTCAGAAAGCAATGAACCACAAATGGGTCCCTATGGAGTTCCTTCTTTTCTCTCCAGGCACTTAACCACAGCATAGAATTGTGTTAGAAATTCTCCCTGGGAAGAAGTCCAGCCAGTGGGACAAGATCCCATTTTCTGGCAATGGGACCCTACACTCCTACCGTCTCCAGGCACTTTTGCAGATCCAAGAAGGAAGATGCGGTACAACAGGATCATGCTGAAGGGCATATCTCCATTTATACCTGACCCTGCCTTGGATCTGGAATGAAAGCCTGTTTAGTTTGGAAGACCTTCCAACTTTCCTGGAGCCCCAGACTTACTCCTTTGAGAGGATGTTCCAGAGAAACCTGTATGAAAACAACTTTATGGTTCATTGCTGCCTTACCAGCCTCAGTACAGGATGGTGTTCAGCATCAGAGGGATCCCCTGAGACCTAGAGCAGTTAAGACTTCATAAACATCTGGTTTCAAGTCCCCATGGAAGTGGCCCATGGTACTTCCATCAGTAGTACTTTATGGCTGGAGGCTTCAGTGGAGGTTGACGGGAAATTCTGAGATTAGTTCCCGTTGTCTTTCAGTAGGAATGTAAACATCTAACTTTATTGGGCTCTTTCAAAGATTTGTGTTTAATGTCTCAAACCACCCCTTGCCTTATGCACAATCAGAAGTATTTGAGGCTTTTTTAATACACAGCCTGAAAGAGCTCATTCTTAACCTTACTCCAGTCTTGAACATTTAAAGCAGCAGCATTAGACTCTTCCCAAGTATGTACAGTGTATCAGTTGTGTAATGTGTGTAGCAAAAGCCTTTAAAATGTAGAGGTTTGCATTGTGATTATCTTTTACAAGTTAACAGTCTGCCTGTAAATGTTTTACGCTGTTAGAAAAGTGTAAGAACAAAGAAAAACTGTATTTGAATGAAATAACTGTGAAAGAGAGTAGTAAATAAGAAATAATTTCTACCAAAAATGTTGAAAAGCAGTGCACTTAGAGAAGAAGAGAAAGCTAAACTAAGCTCAGCATGATATAACTGTATGAACTGCAAATACAGGCTGGGTCAGCAGCTCTGTAGCTTTGTGAGAAATAGAGCTGGTGACATTGCATTGCCATGGCTCGCTTAGGTTATTAGACCTTATAGTGCTATTTGGCTGTACTTCCAGTGTGGAAGTTCTCCCCTGAAGTTGTGTCTTTGAAAACTGCCAGCTAAAATATTTGTATTCTTCTAAATGTTAGTTTATGAGGTGGTGGCACGTGGCAGCATTCCTTGCTATTGTAGAGCAGAAAGGCCTTAGCAACACAACGGTTTGCAAAAACATTGTGGCTGACCCCACATCAAGTCCCTTGTCAAGGCTGTTACATGATTCTCACTATTTAGGTGAAAAAAATGGATATTTTTAATAGCTGAAGTCCAAGAATATGCACATAAAAGTGAGTTTTAACATCTGGATTCTAGCCTTAGCTGTTGTCAGAGTTGATGCAAGGTACAAGTAATGCAAGCAACTCCACTGTTGGAGGCCATGTGATTGCGTGTCAGTACAAAAACCTTTCACTCTACTTTGATTTCCTTCTCTTATTTTGGAGCTGTGGGGATATTTTGTTAGTTCACTACCCTGCTGTACTTGAAGCAGGCTCCTAAGATTCATAGGTTCATGTGTAACACTGATAATATAATTTACAAAGTACTTAGGACTGAAGCGGTCAGGTTGGACAGGGCTCTGAGCAACCTGATCTAGTTGAAGATGTCCCTGCCCACGGCAGGGGGGTTGGACTAGATGACCTTTAAAGGTCCCTTCCAACCCAAACTATTCTATGATTCTATGATTCTATGAAGAGAAAAAAACTGTTGTGGATACAGTCTTCAGTGCGTACATCTCACTGGGACGTATTAGGTAAAGCACAGATTCTGGAAGATTTCAGAGCAAAATTTTAAAGTAGGACAAGTCAAGGGCTTAGCAGTGGACCATAAACAACCAAGAAGATGTCCTATCCTTGAAGCTGGAAGAAGATGGAGAATAGCTTCTTTCACCCTAAAACATTAGAAAATTCCTTAAAATACATCCCAGAATCCAAGCTTTTTATCATCTAGGCTGATTTGAGCATACCAGAAACTGAATCAGGTCTCCCTTTCCCAGTTGGTTTTACATGGAGCAAAAGCTACAAAGGAGACTAACATTTCATTCATATTATTTCATGAATTGGAATATTTATTTTGGTTCTGGATTACAAAAGAAATGCAAATCAAACCACCTAAGGAGAAAAAAAAGCTTTCACAAGATGCTTTCCAAGAGTCTTTTATTGCCAACTGTCTTACAGAGTGTTGTCAACTCATTAGGTACCACAAACGTATTGAAAACTTTTAATTAAATCTCAAACCTTTGAACTGAAGCTGCGTAGCAGTCATTTTTCAAAGAATTGTAAAAAAGGTTCTGGTCTTCTATGGAAAACATGCATTTAAATTCTGGGTGTCGTGCCTGAAAGCAGTACCTGTGGGAATGCTGTGCAGCCAAAGGCGGTAGGATCTGCCTCCACCACCCCTGGAGGTGGAGGAAGGCTTTCCTGCTGCTTTCCAAGACTCGGTCCAAGACCCAAGGCTCAGTCCCTTGGCTCTCCTGCTCAGAGGGCTGGCTGCTCCAGCAGCACTGCACACGGCTGCTGACTTGGAAAGGCACGTTTTACAAGGAGCGACTGTAATAAGGGTGTTGCACTGCCTACAAAGTTTGCCATTTCCAACTGCTCTAGTAAGGAAATGGAAAACACACCCGTGTGGAAAGTGCCAGGTGCCAAACAGCTGGGGTCCTGAGAGCAGCCGGTCCACCCCTGCTGAGCAGAGCTGTGCTGGCGTCCACCCCGGGTACTGCCATTTAACCCACCAACACAACCAAGGGCACAGCTCAGCCCCTTGCCTTTTCTGGGAGCTGTGGACCCCACGGCGGCCCCAGGCCTGGGGACACTCCCTTCTTATGGCAAAAACCATGGGGGGCAGGCACAGCAGCAGTGATCAGGGGTTTCTGCGTGGCTACCTTTGAGCCATGAGACTTGCCGCAGCCCTGAGGCCTCATGGCACCTGAAGTGATCTGGAGGCACCGTGCAGAGGCATGCAGCGGCATGCTGGTGCCCATGCTGCCTTCAGAGCTGCATTTCTTCTCCCCAAGAGCAACGTAACTTCCCAGGGCATCTCCAGGCTCAGCTTTTCTCCAAGTGGGTAAGAGGGAAGGGCCTTTGCAAGGAGACACTTGGGCAGTGGAGGAAGGGAATTTGGGGAACATCAGCCCAGCTCAGCTTCCTTCTGACACGGAGCCTTTCTCCTCTCCACGGTACACTAAATAGCTGCTCTTGCATGGACCTTGTCCTTGCAGTCACTCTCCATGGAACGACCATGAAGTTGGCTACCCTCGGCTACCCTCACCTATTCGGTGTGCCAAGCAGGAAAGCTACCTTTTCAGGAGAGGGCATCATCTGGCCCAGAAAGAGGGCCTGTATGAACAATTACTTGCATCGTAAAAACGGTATTTGTCAAAAATGAACTCGTGGAAACCAATGTTGCCTCTGTCAAAGTACATGGAGCTCCTCTGGTATAAAGTTAGTGTGACTGAGGTCAAACTCCTCACGTGCCACTTGGTCCTCTGACATTTTTCATCCCTGTTTCTACTGAGATGAGTAGTTCATTGACTTATTCAATATCCAGGTAAACCCTGTAGAATTTCATTTATTCTACTACAAGGAATGCCCATTTTATTCATTCAGGTAAATTAAAAAAAAACCAACCAACAAATTAGGCCATTAGGGAACCTGGGCATAGGAGAACAGACTCAAGCCCACTTTACATGCATTTTGATTTGATAGTAGTGCTCATTATTTTATTACTTTGGTTAATCATATACAAACTGAATAATCAGAAAACAGTTGCATGACATTTATATTCCAAATTCTGTTGCTCAAGGACTTCCTCAGAGACAAAATTTGCCTCTATAACCAGAATACCACAATCAGCGGACAGGCAAA